CTGCTAACAAGGAGAACGACATGAAAAAATGTTTTCAAGAAGGCCAAGGCCTAGCCCGAGCTGTCGTACCAATGATGATGATGAAAAATGCATATTTTATTTTCTTTCAAATTTATGCTCATAAAATGGTTTTATATAGATTTTAATATTTGTTTGGATGGATTTTTCTGTATAAATGCTCATAACAGAAAAAATAGTTTTACAGTGGTTGAGATTTATCGATAATTTTTTTATCAGCTGAAAATATTCAGCGATATTCATATTGATCAGCTGTAATGTATGTAATGTATACATTACAACTTTGAAATATATAAATTTGCAAAAATCTCTCCCTAAAATTGGTAAGAAAACGTGACCGGCTGTTTATTTAATTAAAGTCGCCACTTTTATTTTGTTAAGTCGCCATATGGCGAGTGGTTATTTTCAGGCTTACTTAGGACATTTTAGCAACATTAACATTATTATAATTTCCAGTTATATGTTAACCAATAGATGATATTACCGCCAAACTTAGCATCCGAAGCTATGAATACTAATGTCTTTTTTTAAGAAAAAATCTTTATTTGAAATGAAAAAATTTTTTCATCTTATTTTCATTTTCCAAATATGAATATACAATACTATTAAACTGAATTTTATTAGATCATAATGATTTTTATCTATTTTTATGAGAAAATAATGATATTTAAATTAGATTGATCAGAATTTTGATTTCCTTTAAACCATGTGGGGATTATATCGTGGAACTGTTAAATATATTTCACCTTGGGACCTATCTCAAGACACAATGTATGCATAATTTTGAATTCTCAATTCGCCATATATTCATAATTTTTAACTGCAAATGGATGTGTTTTAATCTGTCGCAATATTTTAAATGCCAGTAATATAATATTCTATAAGCATATTTCAGTGTAATATGTATAATTACAATATTCTCAATATTTATTTAAATTTAGGTAAAGTTTGACAGGACTGGGTCCTTGAAGTTTCTCTTCTTCTAATATTTTATATTTATTTATTTATTGCCAGAAAAATTGCGTGAGTAAAATTGATAGAAAATTTTTTTGAATTATAAAATAGCCCGTAAGATAAAAAAAAAAAAAGAGCATTGTTCAACCCTTTCACACAGACTGTCAAAAATACCTGACAAGAGGAAACATTATCAATCACGATAAAAAGATAAAACTGGTAACCTAACTAATTCTTAAGCAGTTTCCTCTGGGTGGGGTTATAATAGTTTGATTTATTTAATTCACCACTTAGTTCTAAAATTAAAATTATATAGCTACATTTTGAACTGAAATTACATATGTGATTAGACTAACATTGATTGAAGCTAAAGCAAAATAATTATGTCAATTTGACCATGCTCTCATTTAAGCTACCGCTTTTTATTTTTTTACATCCTAATTCAGGTTTTGCAGAAATGCTTTTATGTAACGCCCGTCCAGAAGATATTAATGAAAAAAAAACTATTTTGAAAGGTAAATGAATTAACGGAGTATATTAGGGAATGGTGATAAAAAATAAAATGGAATAAAATTAAGGAAAATAATAACTGGAGAAGGAGATTTATCTTTGAACTGTACTAGATTTATAAACAATCTGACATTATTAAATACATAAAAATAAATAGAATGAATTGGATGACCCACGTGATTCGAATGAGTGATGACAATACAATAGAAAAGATACTGCTTTTTAGAAGACCCACTGGAACAAGAAATCGGGGAAGGCAGCGGTTGAGATGGGCTGACTCAGTGGAGTCTGATTTTCTTGCAATTAATGAAAAGAATTGGAGATCAAAGATAAATCGGAAGTCGTCATGGAGAAATCTTCAGAGAAAGGCATTGGCTCACATTGGGCTGTCTGGCCAACTATGATGATGATGATGATAAAAAATAATAACTTTTTTTACAGCTGGAAAATTTGTTATAGCAACAAACTAACAATACGACCCTTTACACCGAGAAACAATCAAGAATTTCGAAATATAGTAATATTAAGAAATATAATTGGAATTAATCATAAATTGAAATTGATCATATTTAGGAACATAAATCACAAATAAAAATTTGATCCTGTTAATCAGAAATGCTTCATACGTCCGTCGTTTACTGTTGAAGCACTGCATCTAACTATCCAGGAATTTTGATTTGAAATATTTTATTTTAAAATTGGCGTTGAACAGCCGACATGATTCAGAGTTTACGACTATCAATATTTAACTCCATAACCCTAAAATTTTGAACAAAATCTAGGAGACAAGGGAACTGGTGTCATCAAGCTTTGGGACAATCTCACCCTCGTGAAGGAATTTTTTTGATGGAACTCACCTGCATTTGCGTTAAATGGAAAGAAAAGGTCACGAAAACCTCCTACGGATTGTCCGATGGTGAAGAGACTCCAACCTATGAGTCATCTATCACTGAGGTTATATTTAAAAAAGCACTGTGCTTGGTGAAAGCCGGATATGGAATTCGTATCAACCAGCTTTCGCTAGAATTCGAACCTGGGTAACCTCATTGAGAGGCGAACACTTTATTCCCTGAAACACCACGGCTCTGCTTATTTTATTTTAATTTATAACCGTCGTTGAACAGCCGACCCAATTTTGGGTTTACGACTGAGGTTTAACTCCGTAGCCTTGTAATTTTGAACCCAATTCAGAAGACAAGGGAACTCTTGAATCAATTGTTGGGTACAATTTACCTTCGTGGAGGACTTTTTGATTGAACTTACCCGCATTTGCGTTACATGGGGAGAAAAATCACGAAACGCTCCCAAGGGTAGCCTGATGGCAAGGGGACTCCAACTCATGATCCGTCTACCACTGAGGATATTTTTACGTTAGCACTGTGGTAGGTGCGGAATTCGTATCGACCAGCCATTGCTAAGATTCGAACCCGGTTCACCTCATTAGAAGGCGAAAGCTCTATCGCTTGAGCCACAGCGGCTCTGCCAATCTTATTTGTGAATAAATGATAAATTTGAATAATAATAAAAGTATAAAATATTTTAGAGCACATGAGATTGAATGGTCCTTTTTTATAAAGGTCATAGTGGACCGATGTAAGATAAAGGAAATCATGGGGCACTTTTATTTATGTATACCGATTTAATAGTTTAATGCTGTTTAAATTTAACAAGGTGTTATAGTTTTAAATCAAATATGTAACTTCTCTACAAAAAAAAATTTCAGAACATGTTCTCTTTTAAGAACATGATGACAATAGAAAAAAATGACATATTTCATGACGAAAGAAACTCCTCAACTACTTCTACTACTATAAATGCATTGCTAATGAAATTTTAAACATTATAAAAAATCATAAATTTAAATTAAAAAACAAATCTTGTAATTTAAAGGTTTTAAAAGAATTTTTTTATTACGATGTTACGAAGAGGTTGGAAAAATTGTAAAGGATCATAACTGAAGTATATCAGACGGATAAAGTGATGTTTTATTTATTTATTTATTTAAAAATATACTTTTAGACCATCATATCTTTTCGCATTTGACGCTTTTTTCATGAAATATAATTTTTAATAGCTAATCTTTAATGATCTGTCCAATTAATCAAAAATGCATGAAAGCATTTTATAATATTTTTACTGATTTTCATTTAATTTTCCCTTTATTGCCTCTTAAAAAAAATACTTTTTAAAACTTTAATTGAAACTTAATTTACAATTTAGAATGCAAAGGAAAAATAATTAATAAAAACTTAAACATTAGACATTCTGGAAACAATTATTTAAGGGTTCTTAATTAAAAATTAACATAATAATTGAAAAAATTTCGTTATAATAATGCTTTAAGCCATAATAAAATAATAATAATGACCAGATTGGAAAAAAAAATTTATACAAAAGAGAACGAAGGACTGAAAAACTTCAGATGTTTCAATTTTCCTCACGAAATTTATAAGCAATTTATAATTTCAATTTTAGAAAAAAAATTTAATAGACAAAAATATTCTAATCAAACCACCGTGTTATTTCTTACCTAAATGCATTTGTTTTCTATTTTTTCCTTCTCAATGACTAATCTTTATTGATAAGTCCAGTAAATCAAAGAAGTATGAAAGCATGCATTTAAAATTATTTATACTAAATTTAATTTTCACTATTTTACTTCTTAATTAAAAAAAAATTCAACTGCAATTCTAACTGCATTTACAGTTATGAAATGCAATGGAAAAAATAATTAATTAAAAAATGAAACTGGAAAAAATTATTTAAGGGTTCTTAATGAATTAATTTAAATGAAAAATTTACATAATAATTGATGAAAAAAATTTCCTTCATGATAATGCTTCAAGCCATAATAGAATAATAAAAACTAGATTGGGAATTTTTTTTTACATAAAAGTGGGGAAAGACTACAAAAGTAGTTTTAGATGCTTCAATTTTTGAAAATGAAGTCTAACTAATAAATAAGTAATACATAACATGTAATTTAAAATTCATAATATCTAATTTAAAATTCATAGTATATAATTTTAAACAACTTTTACTATGAGATACAATATATTATTTATACATAGGATGAATATAAAACATTGAAACAATTTACACTTAAATAATATGAAATTTTAAAATCTATCTCTTTGAAAAAGTTCTTAATTCTAAAGTGATATCACATAATATTATTCTTAATTATATTGTTCTATTGCTGCCAAGCTATTTGTTAAATAAAATATGAAAATAAAAAATTTTAAAATAATTTTAACCAAACTGAACGACAATTCAAAAGTTTACGTATAAAAAAAAAAGAAATATGCATTCTTTAGAAAAGTTAGATGTTTAAATATTGATAAAGTTTACGAAAATACTATATGTTAAAGAGTTCTTTTTGTCAAAAATCTATAATTATAGTTGGTTGAGTTTTAAATAGGAGTAATTCAAAATCTTTTATCGTTCTTCAAGCACCTTAAAGAATAGTCCATCATACAAACTAAACTGACTCTAAGAAAAAAGCATTAAGAACTTACCATTCCCAAAAATTGCACACAGCAAAATTGCTGACCATAATAGCTTCAGCATCTTCATCCCCTTTAACCCGATCTTCCAGATGGTGATCGGAGAAAAGAACACTTCTCAGATCTCACAACTCTCACTGCTCTCTTCACTTCAAGCTAAGAAAATCGTCTGCTCGAGGGGAAATCTTGATCTTACTCACTACGAGGCAAACGATAAAAAACCATTGCTAGTATTCAACTATTTTGTTTATTTTCTTCCATTCTGAAATCTAGGTCTTTATGTTCTATCAGAAAGCAAGGTGACAAGAACCGGAATTTTTATTTCTGGTTTTGCTTTTTCCGCCTTTCTTTCATTTGTTCTTTACTGAAGCGAAAGTTTTCCATATGGTAGTCAGAAGTGGTCACGGTGTGTTGGTCAATTAAAGGATTGTAACCATTCCAGACTGGTATAGCGAGTGTTTGAAAATAAAATATTTTTTTATTTATTCTTTAAGCTTTTCTTCTAAATTAAAAAGTTAAATTGAACTTAAAACCGAAAAGATTTCCCACGATTTAGGAGAACAATAAGACGAGTTTTCATAACTTTCAGGTTCGTTCCACTCAACGCATCGCATAAATACCAAACGATTTTTATCACATAATATAAGAACAATGTATCTCGTCAATTTTTCACTGTCATCATCCACTTTTCATCTTTAGATTATTACATTTGGAAGTTGGTCAATGTACGTCTATGGCCTATTTTGATTTATGATAAGTTTAAGTATCGAATAACAAAGTAGTTTTACACCTACTGTTTATCTATTTAAATTACCATGAAAAAGTTGTAAGTTGGTTTTTATAACTTGAGGCCAATTTCTATTACTTTCTCTTCTCGTTCGCTTTGTTTATATTTAGGAAAGTTATAGATGGTTTTGATAACAGGATAAAATAAAATTATTCCATCCACTATATCTGAAGGATACATGAATCCATAAATAATTTTGCTATATATTTGCTTTTGAACAGATATTTTTTTTTATAAATTTTCCTCGTAAATTAAATTAATCTTAGATTTTTTATGTTCTCTAGTCAATTTTGAATTCTAACTATAAAATCTTTATTACAGAAAGTTATTCAATCAATTTTGAAATTAAATAAATAGGAAAAGAATATTTTTGTAGTCACTAAATTCCATTATAGTTTGAGATAATAAAAGTCAGTCAGAGAAAAGTAGCCTTCATACTTTTTTTAATGGTAGAATTTGAAAGATTACGAGAAATTACCTTATGATGAGCAACAGCTATTTGGGAGAATGTCAAGAAAATTCAGATATCCTAAAAAAAGGGTTTCAAATTTAAAATATATATATGTATACACAATGACCTTCAAAATTTAGGATAATATTGTTTTTTGTGTATATGAATGAACTTAGAAACAAAAAATTTGGTGGAAATCTGCATTATGCTCTTTGCTGAATGCAACACAGAAATTTGAATAGATTCACACTCAAAATTATTTGCAAAATAAATAAATAAAGAAAAGAAAATAAGTAAATTAAAGGAAATAACGAAAATTAAAGAAAATAAAAGCATTCATTTCAGTGGAAACAGTATATCAGAGTTTCACGTGGCAGTTTTTGGTTGAAGCATTATAAAAGTGGATTCTAATAAGTAATGTGTCCAACTTAACTGTAATACATTGACAGCATATAAAGTTGTTAGCAATCCAAAATTGGGTGCGAAGATCAAACACTAAGTAACTCCTGTTCCACCTTATATAAGAGACGAGGTAAGTAAGCTAAAAGCAGCAACATATCTGAGGAGATAGTCTCAAATATTTTCTGCCGGATTCAGGCCTGGAGATCTAACTGACCACTCCTTCCGGTGAATATCTCCATATTTCAAGAACATATGATGAGGTAAATGTGACACATGATGCAATCCATTAAAATGCAATTAGAAGCAAACATCAGTCTCCAAAACACATTTCTATACTCATACAAGTATCAGTTCTTCTTTTTTTAAGGTATGGAGTGGGAGTAAGGTGGCTCTCCAAACTGATACCTTCTCAGGCCATCAAATTTAAATTCTATAAAGTCGCCTCCTCTACGAGTGTAGCTATCTAAAAACCTGGAAAAATTCTCTTAATCCATTTTTTGTAATATTCCCATGACCATTTTCGACGTAAAACTGTGATAATTGTTTTCTTTGAGTAGCCAAATGTTTTTTTTTTCCAATGTAAATCATGTTTGTATTTCAATACATGTAAATTTTTATGCCGCATAAGGAATTACTTAGTGCAAATTTAACGTTTCTGTGGTCATTCAACTTCAGTTTAGACACGGAGAACATGTTGTTACCTTAACCTTTTGTCGCTATTGTATTTTGAGCTGACATTCGAAGCTCTAACTCCCTTTAATGTGTTGATACGAAAATAATAATCATGTTTCTATTTGAAAAAAGATAATGCATCGGACATTACACTTCATAATTAAATTTATGTTTAAAAACTGAAGTCGTGAAGGATGAAGGTTCAAAATAACATTTAAGTGAATTGCAATAGATTTTAGCTTTAGAGCTGCGGTGGCTCAGGGGATAGAAGCGTTCTTGTCCTAATGAGGTGACCCATGTTCGAATCCCAGCTGTGGGTGGTTGATACTTCTGCTCGAGACTCGCACCACAGTGTTGACGTAAAATATACTCAGTGGTAGAAGGATCATTAGGTTAAAATACCCTTCTTAGGAAGTTTTCGTGTTTTTCCTCTCCATTTAATGAAAATGCGGGTTAGTTCCATCAAAAAGTATCCCACAAAGGCTAGTTCGTCCCAATTCTTGATCCAGGGGTTCCTTTGTCTTCTGAGTTAGGTTCAAAATTATAAGACTACTACGGGTTGGTTGTTCAACGCTGGCTTTATAAAAAATAGTTTTAAAGATTGTATGTGACCATAGGAAATAAAGATTGTTTTATCCTTAGTTCTCATCCTCAAGCGAAATTTATAAATCCCAAACTGCCATTTAAACTGTTAGCGTTATAGCTTTCTAGTTTGCTATCAATACACAAAGTTTTGCATCTACTGTGTTGTTGCCAAAGACACTTGGAAACATCTTCAACTCCGTAAACTATCAAACATTGTGATTCGATTCGGTGACTTCATCCTTTAAGATCTCTGAAATTTAAACTCTCGAAACATTTAAATGAATTTCACATGCATAGTAAAATGAGATTAAATAAAATCCTTCCTCGTAAAATCTCTATTTTTTTTCTCTCCCGAAATTCTAACTTAAGGCCTTGTTTCATCAAGCTTTTCAATTACGTTGGAGTTATGGGCGGATATTTCCCGCGTATTCTTTAATTGAAATAACAACCATTAATAGTAATAACAACCATTTCCCATTGCTACTTGTCACTGCTCAACTCCTAAACACGGAAGATGATCAAAAGCTACAATTTTCTTATCAGCGGGAAGCAAAACGTCTCAGAAACTGATTTTTATATGTCAAATGAACTGATAACATTACTGACGTGATAAAGCAAAATTAATAAATTTCAAAAATAAATTTAATATTGATTTTGTAGCGTGAAAGATAAAGTGTCAGAAGTTTACGTCTATGAAAAGGAAATGATGAAAATAAAGAAAAACTATATCGTAAATATATTTGAGAAGAGATAACATGTTCATTACTGTTTCTGACTATTTACGATGGTTGGTATAAGTGTTATTCTTTGTGATATAAATATACCAATTTACTTTTTCGAAATTTTTAAGTTTAATCTTATTTGGTAGAAACGTGTTCAAAGTATGGTAAGCTAAATTAATAATTGTGAGAGTTTAGAATTCGAGAATACAGGTATTATTGAGAATACTAAATGTAATTTAGAATATAGAAGACTTACACTGTAAAATTTGAGATGTAATAGCTTCACAAATTTAGCGTTGAGCAACCCATAAAACTGCGTGAATGAGCACTTCAAGTTAGCATCGAATCGAGTGTTCATATGCACTTTAAAGGGAGTAGTTAAATCTAAACACAAATAATGGAGAATGCTTAGATAGAATTCTCACCATTCTTGAATTATTTTCACTTCCAAAAGCAACAATTTAGGCTTAGCTTGGATATCAGCAGTAGGTTGTTTACACTTGAATACGAAACGGCTTGAGTTTGTTGTTGTTTTGCACACTGTTATCAAACAAAAGCTCGCAGTTACAAAATGTATGCATGTTTCTTTTGTTTATCGTATCTTATTATTAATTATATATAATTAAGATACTGAACCCTAAAAAGGAGAGCAACTACTTTGCACCATTCTTGTCGTTTAGATCCGCCAAACACCAAGGAATCATCCGTGTTTCTTCATCACACTACTTTTGGTGTAAAGTTGCTGCCAGTCTTTTTGGTTTTAAGAGACACTAAAATTTTTTATCTTGTTGATGATTCGTGATTCAGGCAACTTAAAATGGCAAATCTGGAAAATTTTACATGGCTATCTCCAACTCTATCACCCAATCTTAAACATGGCAATCTCCAACATAGGATAGGGTATACTTTGTTCTATGTAGACTAAAGAAAAAAACAATGTTAATGAAGCACAAATGAAAGTACATAAATGGACAAACAATGATTTTAGTTCTATAAACAGGAACCCTCCTAAGTGTCTAAGCGTCAAATAAAGGTAGAGAAGTAAAGAGACTAACACGTGTAAAAGTGATTTAACCAATAGGGACCGAGAAACAAGTTTGAACAAGGGGGGTCACCTCCTGCTTGTTTCGCATTTCCCCTTTTTTTATTTGCTTGTTTAGACTTGTTCCTCTGTCCCTGTTGGTTAAACCATTGTTTGTTCTCCATCTTCATTTGGCATTTAGACACACAGGAAGATTTATAGAACACTGACTATAATATGTTCATTTATGTACTTTCATTTGTGCTTCCTTCAGGGTGTGTTTTTTTTTTTTTTTTTTTTTTTTTTTTTTTTTTTTGCTTTATGGCACAATCTCTTTCATATAAGGCTGACAGAAGAAAATTGGAGTTCAGTAAAATATTTTAAGTTTCTCAGAAATTGGGAAAAATTTCTTCGGTGTTCTATGTTATTTACTTGTTTTCAAAGTTAATAAGGTGATTCTTTTTTATTTTAATAAGGTTTTCTTCACCTCCCCCAAACATTTTATTTTTGCTCTTCTCTTTTTAGAGGTGTTCGAGTATTTTGCTCCAAGTATTACTCCTCTTTGCAAGTTACTGTTTGCAGTTACGCATGTCTATGACAATAACAGTTATGTCTATGAAAACGTTAGTTCGAGATCTGTTACTTGAATACGACTCCTTATAAAAGTTTCTAATACTACCTCTCTC